GGGTTGTTTCAGAGTTTTTATCTACTGCACATAAAGCTGATATGAACATCCATGAGGGAGTCTTTAAATGCACATATGCTTTCATTATATTTCAGAATCAAATCTTTTGTTGTAAATGTTTTGCAAATATTTTCTCTCAGAGTGACTTGTCTTTTTCATTTTTGTAAACGTGTCTTTAGAAGACCACTGATGAAGTCTAATTTGTTGCTTTTCTTTTTCATTTATAGTTCAAGCTTTTCGTGTCCTACTTAAGAAATCTTAGTAAAACTCAAGGTCATAGCTCTTATGTTTTCTTCTAAGCCTTCTTCCAAGACTTCTAAAAAAGCCTAAGCTCTTATATTTAGGTCTATGACTCATTCCAAGTTATTTTTTATATAGCATGTTATATAATGATTAAAATACATATCTATATCACTTGAGCTCAGGAGTTCAAGGTTACAGTGAGCTATGATCACACCACTGCCCTCCACCCAAATGACAGAGTGAGACTGTCTCAAAAAAAATTATATCTGTAAATAATTTGGAGTATCATTAAAATATTCACTTATAAATAACAGTGTGTAATAGAAATTTTTATTTGCAATATAGAAACTACTTGATCAGTTCTGACAAAAACACACCAATAGACAAAACCCATGATTCGAAAAAAAAATGGAAAAAAATATTCTGCAATATTTTCATTACTGTTTTTAGATAGTGTGACTATTGCCTATTTCTTGTTTCCTTTTACTTTTCTCCACTTTTAATGTTTTCTATAATGAGCGTCAATTATCATTACACCAAACTAAATTTAAAAACTTTTTAAGTGGCTTCCTGATTCCCAGCTGTCTTCACACTGCTCTTTTGTGCATAACTGGCCCCTCTGGAGAACCTGAAAGATGAACATACTACAAAAATCTGTCCCTCCCAACCCCACTCAATATTGCTTAACAGCAGGAAGGTGTGAAACAAAGACTTTCTAAAGAGAATTCTCCAAAGAGAATGTGAGTTTACCTGAAACCAAATACAAATGCCACCCTAATCAAGGAGAAGAATTCCAGCAGGGCAGGGCTGGCTGCCTTGCTTGGCCCCCACTGAAATTGCTTGCCTGCCAGCCCTGACACACCGCAGTCACAGATGTGTGTGTCAAACAGCTTCTCTGCTCACTCAATCTCCGCAGGCAAGGAAAGCTAATGAAATTCTCCTGCTGATGTGCTCGCTGTCCTTCTGTCTTGATCTGCTTGCAAAGACAGCCTAAGTCTGGAGCCTCATAATCAGCTAAGGCTGGCCTGGCTGCCTCTCCGTCTGTGCGCACGCCTGACTGTCTGGCGGGTGAGATTTGCCTCTTGAGCTGCTGCGGAGGCCAGCTTGGCTGGCAAGATTGCCTACAGATGTTTCACAGAGAGAAAGATTACTTCCCTGATTGATGAATAAATAGAGTTGTCAACATGGTCTCCCTGGTCAGAGGAGACCCCTGGAGTATAATGTGGAAGGACAGATGTTTCTTCTGGGAAGGTGTCCAAGACCCTTCGAAGAGGTATGCATTCAACTGATATGGTAGGCTGAGTAATTCAGCCTCTAAGAGGGAGAGAAGGAAGGGTGGACACACAACCACAGAAAACACACTGCAGGGGTTTCCTGGGCCAGGCCACCTCCCAGATCTTGATAAAGGAGTGGGCACGCCATCTCAGCCAGTGCCTCCTCTTTGGGCTGTTTTTCCAATGAATTCATAAGCCCAATGATCAGAAATCCCATCATCTTCTCAGTCTACACCTGCTATGAATTGCAAAGGGGGCAGCAGAAATGACACTATCACCCTCACATTAAACCTCAAAGGCTTCCTCTTGCAGAAACTGCAAACGCAGGCACAATCAAACTGAGTAGGGACCAAGGCATCTGCACTGAGTTACTTCTTACTTTGTAACATGCAACTTTGGAGATTTCTGGCTGACTTTCCACAACAAAGTAGACAATAATAACTATTATCATAATTGTTTTAGTAATTGTACCAACAGCCGTCTTTACTTGACATTAGGCTGTGTACTTTACACAACATCATTTTATTGAACTCTCAAACACATACATACAAAATACTCTATGCAAGGTTTCATAAAATTTATCACCCGTAAGCCCTCCCTGTAAGAATTACTAGAGGATGTGTTCCAGCAAATGAAAAAGAGGAATGGTCGAAGCACTGTCATTAAACCTGTTTAACAGATAAGGAAGCACAAACCCAGAAAGATAAAGTAACTTGCCAAGGTCACCTGGGAAATAGCCAATCTGGGAATTGAGCCCAGATGGGTCTCCTTCCTGAATCCATGCTCTCAACCACTATAATTTTGTAGTCACCAGAAGATGTGGGAGATGAGGATTACAATTTTCAACACAAACAAAAAAGTGTTGGTGCTTCCAACACAGAAACATGGGGTGCCCAGGAAAACACGATTCACACCTGGATATGCCTGAATATCAAAGAGGCTGCTGAATAGGTCTCAAACAGATTTGAGCTTCAAACTAAAAAGGTCTTCTCTAACACTTCCAGAAAAGGCTATCTTCTGCATTCTAGGAGGAAACATGAAACAGACTCTCCATCTTACACACACACACACATACTACACCACATATACACACACACCCCATTCACACACATCACACCCACATATCACCCACACCCACAGCACACACAACACACACACACACACCCCCCATTCACACACATCACACACACATACCACCCACACATACCCACACCACACTCCCACCCACACATTCACCCCCCCACACATACCCACACACCATACCCACACAGTACACACACATACCCACATACCTCATTCACACACATCACACCACATCCACACCCACACATACACACCCACACCCACACCTACACCCCCACACACCCCCACACCCCATTCACACACATCACACCCACATACCACCCACACATACATATCCACACCACACACACACACACACACACACACACACACACACACACACACACGGCTGAACAGCCTAGAGCACCATCCCAAAGGGTATTTGGATATTTTTAACTAATATGGCCACATCTTCCCTCCATCAGAGAAGGAAGACACTGCATGCAGCAGGAGAGTCTAGGCTAGTTTTCTCAGATAATAAATACCTTAAAAGGAACTTCAAATAATAAACCCCTCCAAAACACGTTTTTTATATACCACTCCCCAATGAACTTAAAGTTCCTTCAGAGTAGGAATAGGGTCTCTTGTTTATCTCTGTAGCCTTAGTGCCTAAGGCCTCAATACCTTTTCATTGAATATCAATGAATGAATGAGCAGACAATAACAGCTAGAATGAAGACAATCAACATATTGTAGTAGTGAAAACCATAAGCTTTGGAGGCAGACAGTCCTGGGTTGAATCATGCTGTTGCTTCCAAACAAATTACTAATGCATTGCTCCACTTCCGGCCTCTCATTTGTAAAGCAGAGACAAAATATCAAATTCAGAAAATGGCTGGAAAAATTCAAGGAAACAGGTGTCGAGCACAATGCTACCACAGGCTCAAGAATTCCAGGATGTAATCTATCTTTGTCACCAGGGAAAACAGTTCAGTCTGGGGACAGAGCAAAGCACATTATGATACCTTGCATCTTGGTGTTGTAGAGAAAAAGTCTGATTATTTTTAAAAGAACATTGACAGTGACCCAGAGCAAGATGACCCTAGAGGCTAGGTCTGACGCTGCATGTGCCAGGCTTAGAGAGGCCAGAGGGGTATGGGGTGGGAGCTGCTCTAGATGCTCACCCCATGCCAGGAGCGCCATTTTTCTGCCAGACCATAATTTCAGAGGGCAGGAACTCTCCAGGCTCATTCAGAGGAAACCACTTATGGGATTGAGGGAATTAAAACATACCCCAAGAGGAGCAGCCAAGGGGACTGGCATAGCTTAGACTTCGGGAAGAGAGGGAAGGGATAGGACCCACGCTGCATGGTACCAGGTCAAACTGGAGTTATAAGGCAAAAGTTCTAGGGAGGCAGATTTCAGTGGGAATCTTTATTTATCTAAATTCAGAAAGGTTGCTTTATTTGCCTAAGGTTGTGATGCAGCGCAGGTGAGCAGCAAAGCATGCTGCCCAATTGGGAACTTGACATGGTAAGTCCAAAGCCCTATGCGACACTTCTCAATTGTATAGGCAGCAAAGAGGGAGGTGAAGAATATGCACTGAAGTTGCCACCCTCTCATCCCCACCCCATCCGACTCCCTTCTTAAAGAAAGCCTGTTTGCATGTGTATATCTGTGTGCTTTCATGCTTTGGGTATTTTTGCAGGACCGAAAGCAGAAGCAGTCTGAATTCAAAGACCACACCCATCATTTGTGAAAGCCTAAACCCACTGGACAGACGATGCTGGGAGTGGAGTGAAGGGTAAGAGCCATGGCTTTAAGGACCCTGAAGAAGATGGGGGACACTCCCCCCTGGACTGGGGAAAAGAGGATATCAGGGGCTGTACCCTGAGGAAAAAGCATATTCCCAGAAGGAATGGTGGTGTGGTGGTCCTGAGAAGGCAGGAAAAAAAGACTGGCAAAGATGCTATATCCTATGGGGACATGGAAGCAGAAAGCCCTTGGACCTCAAGGGACCTCGAAGAACCATCACAATGAGGCTGTCACTGCAACCAGGAGACCAAACGCTTGGCCCCTGCTTCCTTAGTTGTAAGTTTCCTGAATCGTGGCATCACTCTGGGAGGAGAAAGGTCTCAATTATGACCAAGAAGAAATTTTCTGTTCATCTGTTCAAATCAGGACTATAGTCAAAATGAAATAGATTTAAATGAAATAAAGATGGACATTCTTTGTAAATCTGTGATTGAGAACTGAGATTTCTACCATAGATGGAGAATAGGCACCAAACACCATACAAATGGTGACCCTAACACTATGCTCTCCCCTCCCCATATTCCCCAGCCAAAGACTGCAAACCTTCACATCTGCCAGCTGCAGAATGCCTCCCAGCCTACAGCTCCCCCCACCTTCCTGCCTTACCTGGGGAGCAGGTGCTTGCGGCTGACACACAGGGCAGTCTGGTAGTCCTGGGTCACACACACTTTGTGAGGGCTGCATTTCACCTTCAGGCAAGGGTCCTTGGATGGGTCCAGGGCTGAGGCAAAAACAAGAAGGAGGGCAGGGTTAGGACCTCCAGGGAAATTTAATTTTTGTTGTTGTTGTTGAGACGCTCTCTTGCCCAGGCTGGAGTGCAGTGGCACGAGGTGCACGCCATCACACCCAGCTAATTTTTGTATTTTTAGTAGAGACGGGGTTTCATCACGTTGGCCAGGCTGGTCTCAAACTCCTGAACTCAGGTAATCCACCTGCCTTGGCCTCCCAAAGTGCTCGGATTACAGGCGTGAGTCACTATACCCAGGCTTAATTTCTATTTCTACTTAAAGAAACAAGTAGAAAATAAACTAACCATGTGTTTGCATGCATGTGTTTCCCCTCTGAGGCTGGAGGGGAATGGAATGAAAGCTCAAGCCAGGGGAAATTCTGTGTCTATCACACACATTATTCCTCAACATCAGGGGAGCAATTCCTTTGTGCTTTGGGAGTTTCAGCATTTTCAGCTCAGGCAGGAATTACTTTTAAAAAAATCCTTTAGAATCTTATGTGATCCAAGGAACAAGAACCACTTTTCCCTCTTTGGTTATGAATATGGTGTTTCTTTTTATGACTTCATTCATGCCTAATTTTACTTATTTCCTATAAAAAGTCCTTGAGGACAGTTTGTTGCTTCCATTCAATAAACACTCACTATGTGCATAAACGACCTATTTTAAGTCTCTGAAGAACTTCAGGATGTATAAGACAGTTTTGTGCCGCACAAAGTTACAGTGTAACAGGGAGGGGGAAGAGCTTACACATAAATATTTATTGTGCAAGGCAAAATTAGATAAGGACCATGAAGGGCATATAAAATGATAACAGAGCTCAAGAGAAAGATGGAGATCAATTTCTAGGGCAAGAATTGGTGAAGCATTAATATGTGAATTGGATCTTGAAGGATGGGCAGGATTTTGAAAAGGAAAGATAGAAAAGGCAATCCAGGCGGGGTGAACCAGCACGCAAGTGCAGGAAGGCATGTTCTGGCAATCATAAGATACTCAATCTGACTATGAAGTGTGGTTTGTGGGGTGGCAGTAATGAGACGGGGATGTTGATTCAAACAAGTAACTCCAGAAAGGGTCTCCAAAGACAGCAATTCATATATTGCAACATTTCTGGGAACAGGCTGAGCAGCAGGCCCTCGGCTAATCAGCACTCTGCATGCTGAGGTGCACATGCTCATCATTGGCACAGAAGAGGCCTCGGGGAATTCTCTGCAAAACAAAAGCAATTGTGCCATCTTCCAGCTCCGGGGCCTAAAGCCTATTAAGCAGTAAATCTTTCATAACTGCTCTCCAGTCAGGGGAGGTGATGTCTCCCCATGTCTTCCCCATGCAAACATTTGGTTCAACAAATTGGCATCCTGAGCAGGTACAGCAAAACTTCTATAAGAAATGGCATGGTGAAAAAACCAAACCAAAACAAACACAAAGAAATGTCACAGTGCCCTTAACCACTGGACTCGCAGCCTTCCTGACTCCTCAGCATGTAGAGGATATCACCGTTCCTCTCCTCCTGCCCATGCCCAGAATCGGTGCACTACTTTCTTCAGATGCCTGTGAGAATTTCTCAAGAGTCCTGAACACACAACATCCAAAGGCATTTCTGCAACTTGAACAGCTTAGCTGGCTTCCTCCACTGTAGCAGCTTCGGCAGCTGTAAACAGAAGCCATGCTGCATTTTCAGGCCCATCTGGGAAGTAACAAGAGCCAGGGCCTGGTCCTAGGGGAGTGACCTGGTAGAGTCTACTCCCCAAGGGATGTGGCTCTGATACTTGGAGCTTAGCAGAAAGAAACAGGCTATGAGATAAAAGAGAGGCTGATTCAAGCCCCAGGGACAGGGTGTTCATTCACTCAGAGCTCTGAAGCTTAAGGCAGCCTCTGCAAGGCAGGTGGCAGGGCCCTGTGTCTGCTGCTGAGTCTTCCGAGGCTGGGCCTTCCAGAAACCTGCAGCAAGAGCCTTCTGGTCCTGGAAGTCTCTTGGTTCCTGGGGATGTCTACATGAGAATCCAGGAGGCTGGGGCAGTCTCAGGCCAGTGCGCTGTCCCCACCCCAACCCTGGGGCTGCAGCTCTGCCAACTTTGACTTGTTCTCCAAGAATCATCCAAAATTGAGTCAACAATTAAGAATGATTACCAGATGACCACTAATAATGAAAATTTCTCTAGGGTCCTGAACAGACAAATCCAAAGGTGTTTCTGCTGCCTTAACAGCTTAGCAGGACATGCCAGTACTTCATTGTCCCTTCTCAAACTTCCACACACCACAGGATGAAGACATCTATAGATCTCAAGACTTGGGGACTAGACCCCTGGCAGCCCCCGCCATATTTTCCAGCATTTCCCCCAATAGATGCCAGGTGCTGCAGCAGACAACTTGAGATTTTCACTAAAGTGGATGTCGGAGATGGAGAATAACAGGCTGGCCTAGGGTGATGGGTATCAAAGCCTGCAGTACTTACTACACAACACGCTTTATGGCAGAATTTGAGCTTATTTTTGTCTCTGTAGCCAATTTTGTTAACATGCCACATTGCCCCTCCCCACCCCATGGCCTCAACGGATAGTGCAATTACAAGGACCATGAATCAGCTGAGCAGAGCTGGGAACAGCACCGACTCCAGGGCAGGAGCTTCTGGGACTGAACTCTGCCTCTGCTGCCTGTTATCCTTGCTATACCTTTCTTTCCTCTTCTGTAAAAATGAGGATAACAACAGTACCTGCTATTGCTTGGTGGTTATCACAAATATTGAATGAGTTAATATCTGTAAGTACTTAGAACAGACCTGGAACATGCTCTGTGTTTGTTAAGTTTTTGGTGTTTGTCTTGTGTACCCAAAGTAAATAATAAGTTTTCATAATAACAAAGAACTATACTTAACACTCACTGAGTGCTTCTGACATACAGGCAGTGAGCTAAGCCCTCTGATTGGATTACCACATTTAATTTTCACAGCCACCAAAGCAGGTAGCTGCTATTAATGTGCAGGTCTTAAAAAGCGATTGCTAATGAGAGATGCAGAGGGTATTTGCAAACCTGGTCTGTGACTCCAGAACCCAAATTCTTCACAAGTGTCTACCTCAAGCATGAGAATCTCCTAGAATCTTCTTCAAAAAGTTGACTGGAGGGCTTACCTCACACCAAGAGCCCAGGTGCACCACATTCTTGAGAGGACTTTGGGGCAGAATGAGACTTACCGGGTAAAAGGAGGGGACAGCCAGAGGACCCGGTGCTGCAGAGGCTGGGCCACCATTCCTTCTCAGTACACCCACAGGATGGGGTCACCAGCCCCGATCTTCCCTCAGAGGGTGGGGTGCCCAGCTCTGGACACCAGAGCCCTCAGCCTACCCCCTCTGAATGCAGCCATCCCCCAGCTGAGTCAAAAGAACTGAGGTCTGGTCAATTTTGTTCCTGTCTTGTCATCTGTCACCCTACCTTAGGCTAACTCCTATAGGCCACCCTCCACTTCCGGAAATTAACATTTCTTTAAAAACAAAAAGCCTCCAACACAAAATGCTAATAAATAAAAACTGTTAGTTATTAAACTCCCTAGACATACTTAACAATTTGCATACAGAAATCAAGTCTGCTAAAAATCAATTACTAGGGTCTGAATACTTCAAACATGTATGTGAATTATTTAGAGTAAATGAACTTCACAGAGCAACAAAACAGTAACAAATCAAGCTGTCAGCGTTTGTTTAATCACCTTGATGCATTTTGTTTTTGGAAAACAGCAACACTGGGATTGAAAGGGGATGAGGAGTGTGTCATTTCCATTTAAACACAGGCCTCCCAAATGCGTTTTTCCCAGCAGCCTCAAGGCTCAGGGTGACAGATGCTCTGGAAAGGCACCTAGCACGAGTACTGGAAAGGACTGTGGCTCCGCTTTGTAAAGGGAAGGATAAGAGATCTGAATAATAAGTGGCATTTGGGAGACTTTTAGTAAGTAGGGGAAACTGCAGGTGGGAAGGTAGGGGAGAGAGCGGAGTCTAATAATCCTGAGCAGGGTTCGAAGTTTCCTTGGCATGGTGCTACTGATTTCTTGGGGACCTTGCTCCAAGTTTCAATCTCTCTCTGCATATGAGGAGTGACAGGATGCAGCCATCACCAGGGGATGGCCAAGCTCTGTGTCCTCTCTGCCTCTTCTATCACCAAACCTGCAGGACTCCTGTGGACCCAAACAGGATAATGTCCTAGTGCAAAGCAGGTGCCCACCGAAGGTTAATTTTATCTTTCCCACCTATATGCAGAAACTATTCAAAAGTCAGCTGAGTCTTTCCAGGGGTAAGAAGGTTTGTGGCAGGCTTAAGGGATCCAAGTGCTTTGTAGGGCCGGCAGCGGCTAGAGCAGGTTGGTGGGTAAAAAGGCTGGAGAGGGGGCGGAGCCTGGTCCTGGAGGGCCTGGGAGCCACAGGGACCAGGCTGGGGAGCCAGGGCCTTTGAGTTCCACAGTGCCTTCAACCCAGCATGCAAGAACCTGTGGCCAGACTAGTCAGGGAAGAGGGGCAGGAAGAGGGAATCCCAAATATGCATTTTATGTAGAAAATGGCACTTAGTAAGAACAGACACACTGACACACCTCAGATTCTCATCCTGAAAATGAAAGGGGAAGTCAGGGCTAGAGGGCCCAGCGATCAACTCTTAGACTCCCCTTTCTCCTGCCAGGAACCTCCTTCCTCCCTCTCCCTGGGAACATCAAGCCACACAGGATTCTGGGAGGCACAAGCCTACCTGCTGAGACCAGTAAGCAAAAGACTGATCTGAAACGGTGGCGTGGCCGGGAGTGGTGGCTCATGCCTTTAATCCCAGCACTTTGGGAGGCTGAGGCAGGCGGATCACCTGAGGTCAGGAGTTCGAGACCAGCCTGACCAACATGGTGAAACCCCATCTCTACTAAAAATACAAAATTAGCCAGGTGTGGTAGCACTTGCCTGAATCCCAATTACTTGGGAGGCTGAGGCAGAAGAGTCACTTGAACCCAGGAGGCAGAGGTTGTA